GACGCGCTCTTCACCCTGCCCGCCATCGCGGTCATCCCCCTCGGCACCGGCAACGACTTCAGCAACTGCCTGGGCTTCGGCTGCCGGGTCGACCTCGAGGACCCCCTGCTTTGCTGCTCTAGCGCCGAGTCCAGGGTGCTCGACCTCCTGCACGACGCGACCAGCGCCCCCTGCGTGGGCTTTGACCGCTGGCTGGTGGAGTTCGTCCCGCTGGCGGTGGCCCGGCGCCACGTCGGGGCGGCCCCGGGGCCGAACCGGGCGAACGCCGTGCACGCCCTGGACTGGGGCCGCCTCCGCGCGGACCGCCGCTATACCGCGCGCAACCTCACCAACTACATCAGCATCGGCTACGACTCCTACGTGGCCTACCAGTTCGACCGCTTTCGCCGCCAGCACCCGTGGTTCTGCGGAACGCGGGCGCGGAATAAGTTGGTCTACTGCGCCATGGGCCTCAAGGCCGGGACGAAGTGCAAACGACTTCGCCGCCTGGTGCCGACGCTCTGCGTGCCCGACCCTTTCGCCCCCGCCAGCCCAACCGGGGAGCCGGACATGGTCGCCCTTCAGCTCCCCAAACACGCCAAGGCGCTGCTGTTCAGCAATGTAGACTCCTACTCCGGGGGGACGCACCCGTGGTCGGCCAATACCGGGCTGTACTACCGCCCGGTGGAGTTGCGTGGGGATCACATCGTACGCCCTGAGGCCGCCCCGGCGCGGCGACCCGCCGCGATACCGGTGAACATCAACGACGGAAAGCTCGAGGTCCAGGCGATGGGCGGGGTCTTCGACTACGGCTTCCTCAGCGTCGGCATGACGGGCGCCACCAAAATCATCCAGAGCTCGGAGATGTTTGCCTTTGTCGGGTGTACCCCGAATGATCTTTGCCCCCCTGATCCGGCGTCTCCGGGTGGCGCGCGGAACCACGTGCAGCCGCCGTCCACGCTGAACCTCGATCCCTCCGAAGGGAAGGCGCACTCGCCGGTGAAGCTTTGGATTCAGGTGGACGGCGAAGCGGTCTTCCCACTGACGGAGCCGACAATTGTGCACATCCAACCCATTCGCGAGAGGAGGTTGTACGTGCGTTGCCGGAACGCACTGCTATTACAAAATCCAACGTGAACCAATAAAGTTTAGCCATTGGACTTGTTGACGCGGCCGATACTTCCTTCCTTGTGTGAGTGCGCGCGGTGTTGGAAGTGCTTAGAAACAGCTCCGGTTGATGAAAGGACAACCCAAAAAGGGAAGAAAACATCGAAATGGCATGGAATCGAAGTTCTCCCGGCGGAGCCCCTTCATTGTGGTGTTTAAATACAACCAAATGTAAACAAACCGATCCAGTAGTAGCAAACTTCCGCAGACTCCTTTTGTATGAATGTGGACACTACACATAGTATGTAATCACTTCAAATACACATTTAACCCACCATTTTGCCTGTGTACCTCTATGTGAAAACTATGGTTGTGCACTCCTCAGCAATCATCTTCATGGTGGAGTTTTTTTTATGGATTAGTTGCAAATATAAATGAATCGAGTGTATTTTGCTAAAAAAAAAAACCTCAGAATGATTAATAATCATTTCGGTGTATGAATTGTTGTGTGGAAAAATGGAATGAAATTTTTTAACATCTGGTCGCTCTTTATAGCCCCCTTTTGACAACAATAAATCATATATTTCATCGTATTTTCCGGCTACCCATTGATTATCCATTATTGTTTTTTTTCTTTTGATGGAAATGAATATTGTAGCTTTCAACATCCAACACTGAATTATTTTTTTGGTAGTTTAATACATGTGTACGGAATTGGTAAATTTGGGGTAAGGTAACAAAGTATAATATTTGAACTCTATTACCGGTACTTCATGTAAGTTGCTTCACAAAAAAATAAATAAAGAAACAAATAGTGTTAAAAGTTAACGGGCACTTCTATTTATTTTCTCTATTAATTGCTCCAAACGACATTTTGACCGTTTCTTAATTCCCTATATTGGATCAAGCACCACTATCAGGGTACTCTGAACTGATACATTGGGACCTTCCCCTGCTGTCTCTTACAGCGGCTTTGTATTTTTAAAATAAAAAAAAATCCAACGCCATCTCTCTCTTTAAATAGTGAAACCCGAATCATCCATTTATATGCAATCCTTGAATTCAGTAGCAACCCCCTATAGGCATTTTGGCTCTTGGCATTAACATACCCGACGCTCATGTATAGTAGGAGGAATGGGGTGTAAGTTGACCTCCTTGCGCGCGGCCTCCGCGGGGTGCGCCGATCACCGCGACCCCCCCACGCCATCCTCGCCCCACCCCATCCCGAGTGATCCCCTGGGCTGCTCGCACGCCCTACGCCGCCCGCCGATCGCCCTGGCCCCCCTGGCGAGGCGAGGGCCGCAAACCCCCGCGGGCGATCCCGGGGAGGGGGAAAAGGACCGGTCGGGCAGGGGCCCCGCCCCCCTCAGCCCCGCGGCCCGGTCCGCCCCAGGGGCGGCGTGGCTGCCGCACAGGACGGACGCCGTGCAGGCGGCCCGGGAGTACCAAACCCACATCCGCGCGAGGGCGCGGGCGGCGCTGGAGAAGGCGGCGCGCCTGCAGGTGGAGATCATCGACCCGATCCGCTCGCGGGACAGCTTCAACGCCTCGCACCGGGCGACGTTGGGCCGGTGCTGGGACCGCCGCGCGGCGGAGCGCCGCCCCATCCACCTCGTCCACGCCCTCGCGGCGGAGGAGGGCCGAAGCCCGGGCGACGTCAGCCCCCGCCGGCGGACCGCGCGGCGCTCGCACTGGTTCGCCACGTGCGGGATCCGCACGGAGTACGCCGCGTCGGCGCTTCTCCGCGCGGCCACCACCCCGATCCCGGCCTTCCACGCCGACCCTCGGGGGGCCGACGCCGACGCCGACGCCCGCGCGGCCCTCCTCGCCGACCTCCAAAGCTGCATCGCCC